TATAATAGACAGAAACAATAAGGTACTGCGGCGGAAATTAGAGAGTAAAACGATTAACTGCTTCAGAGTTATTGAAGAAAAATGAGATCAACCTAGTCACAACGTTGGGTTAAACTGTAGTGATGAATCTTTCGATGTGTCATTTATTTGTGGATTATGCAACTGTTATTGCACTGGGTCGAGGGCTCAAACCATAAAACAGGTTGACACCAGCGATCCTCAACCTCAACCTGAACAGGTCCTCGACCTTCCCAATTAGGGCGTTGTTCGTCAAAACTGCTATTGAAGTGAAGATTAATAACGGTACACGACATATACCAAGGTTCTATTCAGCCGATTCGGCGTACTACTGCGACAGGGACCGACAAATTCACACCAACCAAGCTATCCATCCCTACGCACCTACGCAGCTGGTCGGCTCACTTGCCCCAGACTGTTTGAAGGCCAAAAACACTCAACTGAACATGGACTGGCTACTGCAAGCCATTTGTATAGGCCACGTATTCCTTCAAGCGCTACTACGACCTTTACTGGAAGGTTCATGGGGGAACGCATCCCAAAACAGGACCGATCAACTCAAAAACTTGATCATTGAACCTCTTATCGACTATACAGCCTTGTTTGAATGCCATCTACAGAACTGGATCATTCCCAGTTCTGTATGGGCGTCTTATAACTATTTAACTTGTTATAATTTTCTGAATGCAGATCACTCATCACGAAACCTGGGGATATGCGGAAGATCATCATTCTAGCTTTACTATTCTATATTACTGCCCACACCATCTATTTCATCTATTCACTTATGCATGTTTCCTACACAAGGCGACAATTTTCAAAACGGGTAAGTTATTTTGTGAATACGGGTATGTAATGACAGATGCTTCCACAGAGCTTGATTTAAGGATTTATCTGACGGTCCTCTAGTGCTTAAGGAAGGTGTTGTCGCAAAGAAGGGCAAAGTGATTCCGCTCAGTAAGAAAAGTAAAAAGAAAGCACCCAAACACTCAGCACATGTAAGAGGTGATTTCCTCATTGAACCATTCTCTTATAATCCGTTCTGTTTACCTTCTTAAGTGTTTTTCTTCAGGTCCAAAAACAAACAGTCATTCAGATGGCAAGAACTCAATGCTTTTAAGCAAAACTGTCATTTCCCCAAAGGTGGATAGAAATCACTCGCTGCATTACGGTTTCGTGAAGGTAAGATATTGCACAGGTACCTAGATTAAGACCAAGTTTTTCAACAGACAGAACTATTAGTTCCTTTTTTACAAAAGTGGTGGAATCCGTAATCATTGTGAAGAGAAAGATGGCAATGGTATCTGTTTGTAATTCATATCCATTACATACCATGAGTTGGTAGGCAGATAGGAGGGCACGAATAGTATGCTGAAAAGGATCTTCAGGTGGGAAAGGAGACCTGTAGAAGAAGAAGACATGAGAAGACCTCATTTGTTTTTAAGGAGGCGCGAGCGATGAGCTTAATCTACTGATTGAAAAATGAAAAGGACAAAGTGATGGGTAGGACAGTGGATAACTTTGTTAGCTTGTTCGGAAGTTTAATGGTTGTCGAGGAGCATTTCAGGGAAAAACTCTGGAGTCGCACTTGAACTCACACGTTATTCTACCCAGCTATTGTAAAAAATTACGTCGTCAGAGTAGAAATCGCAGCGTAGAATTTTCACGCCTGAGTAGGCTTTACCTATGAGGGAGAAGATTGTCAGGGTTTATGGAGAAATACAGACTTTTGATTCCGAAAACTATGTAAAAACTTTTGGTAAACTTTTCCAAGTAAATGAATTAGGTACGGCTCACTGCTTTGCTCATAGCATGAGTGGCTCAAGATAGGCAGTCCACTGCTGAATGAAGAAATTTTGCAGTCGTATAAATTTGAACATAAAAGCTGGAAAAAATTTGTCGCATAAATCATTTTGTGACAATTATCTGAGCGAAGATCTGATGGGCAAAGGCTGGTGCGGTTTGTCCAGGTTCAAGGGCTTGGAAATGAATAATTAAATAAACTGAGTAAGTGGTAAGTATGCAAAGGCTCTCCTGTGTTTAACACCTGCGCAATAACATGTACTTCGATACTGCAGGCGTACTCAAACATTCCTAAGTGGCAAGGACTCAGGAGGTTCAGTATCTGTATCAATTAACCTACTCGAAGTAGACTGCCATTTCAAAGTGTTTTAAAGTCTTAACTCAAAAAAA